TTATATGCAAGTTACTACTTTTTAATAAACTATAGTGCTTTTACCTACTACACTATGAGGGCTCTTTTCTTCTTATAAACCCTAAAAATATATATGGAACTCTGAGTGAAGGACCGTTGGTACCACGATCAAGAAAACAGTGCCTCTGGGTCTGAAAGATAGCCCTAGCACCGCAAAGATCAATCTATCTTCTAGCCTGGTTCCAGTGCTGAATGAACATCGTTTAAAGCGTGATAGGACCGTGGATCAAAACTGTCTCTAACCTGAGAAGTCTGGTTTCTCACCACATTCTGGTGAGTACCCATTTCTAAGGGGTCCGCTGGATCAAAGAGTTTGGGATCTCCAAAGTTTCGTTTGTTTGTCTCCCTTTCTCTTTTACAACACTGCATATTAGACCACTGCTACCTTCATTGACATTATTTTCATTTAAAACAGCTACAGACTGCGGATTGCCACTTTGCTGGTTTCTAATATTTTTTTGATACATTTATCGCTCATACCCTGTAAGACGTTGATATTGCAACTAAATCTACTACAGTTTCTGTCACTATTTAATGCTTATATTATATTTTGTAAGAAGCCGATATTGCCAACATACGATTCCTGATCTAATCTATTGAACTATATTGGTCCATTTTCACATATTGTTTTTTACCACAGTAATTCTCTTATATATTTGCATCGATTTCTTTATCACTTATTTCTTCTATTTATTAGGATGTATCTCTATCACTCGATCTGTATAACATTGCGGTTTTAGATGTATAAAATGTACAGCTTTATATTAGCTGTCATCTAGCTGTTATATAAGGTCGTTACGATCACTTTTTCACTATTTCTTAATTTTTTTTTTGCTATAATTGGTTCATATTATATGATTTTTGAGATTTTTTGGGGGATTGATGTTTGCTTACGTATTCACACACCTATTTCCTCTTTATACACCCTATTACCAACTATCGCTCCCTAGGGCTGTGTGAAGACGCAGTTCTTTTCACAAACCACTCACTTGAGAACACCCAATCCACCACAATAAAGAACCTATCCAACCACTGATTATTTAATTATATAGGTTGGTCAACCTTTAGCGCTGCGTTTCTACCTTTTATTCATTAGAAAAATGTCTTAATTTTGCTGATCAGACTCTCTGAATAGTTCAGAAAGGCATGACGAGCAAACTAATGTATCCAGCATGGCGAGATTACTGCACGCCCAACAGTGATCAACTAGAGGTGCTGCTCTATGTGAGGATCTTGAAGCATAGGAATGATGGAGAAGCAAGAAAATAAAAGGATATCCACGAGACATGGATTTGCATGACAAATTGGTGCAGGGCAGCTGCAGGGGAAAGGAAAAACAGCACATTGCAACATTAAAGGAGAACTATGGGGTTCTATCTTTTTTTTATTAATGCATTCCTTAGGCTAAATAAGTAAATAATGTAATTTACTCTAATTAGCCAAAATGCACAGTAAGGCTGTAAACCCTTATTTAAGGTGGTGGGCGGGGCTATGCGCCGCAATGAGAAGACATCCCGACGTATCTGACGGGATCCTCCCCACTGATGACGGACAGTGATTCTTGAGAGCTGCGAATATATACGAATATATGGACATGCGCAGCAGCTCTCGCCTTACCTGGACGTCCCCGTGTGCCTCTCTCTCTCTCTATCTCTCCTGACACTAACATACTAAAATGATCGTGGATCGCTGATGACAGAGGGGAAGGAGCCCTCTCTCTCTCTAATTTAGAAAAAAAGAATGATGCTACTACAATCAAGGTAAGGGGTATTTTTATTTGCCCTTAAGTCATAGTTCTCCTTTAAGTAATGAAAGCAGTGAATGGTAAAGAGAAGGGAACAAACTCCATTGAAATGCTCACCATACTCTAAGCCAGAGAAGTAGCAAGAAAAAAGCAGCTCCTTCCAGCAGCAAAGCATGGAATGAAACAGGAACCAGTTTAACCCTTTCCCTGCCAAGGACGTACAGCATACGGCGGAACAAAAGTGTTCCCGGCTGGCCAGGTCAGTATGCCGTATGGACCTGCAGGGGTGTGGAAATTTTGGAAAAAAACTACTTGTCCAAGCGGGGGCCGAATCTACTTGTCCTTCATGACAATCTACTTGTCCTGATACAAAAAAAAAATTATTTTAACCAAAACCGTATTTAGCAATTCTTCCTTTTTTCTTTTAAAAAAACATTAAATTAACTGTGGCAGCGCATGGCAAAGCTTTGTGACGCATTGCCATGCGTTGTGATATCTTGTGTTGCAATAAAAAAAATTTTTTAGTGTGCTTTATCAATTGAATTGTGTATTTTTATCGGTTGAATATTAAATTTGAGAAACATTTGCGCAATTATCGCAGGGCCTACAAATTTAGTAGCACAATCTTTTTAGTCTACCTTTTATTATACTTTTACAAACGCTAGCAACGCAGCAGTGGAAAATCAAATCAATGGAAAAAAATTGCAAAAATGGTGTGGCCAGCTGATTTGCTAAATGTTTTGGAGGGCTTGGCAGCGAAAGGGTTAGGGCACCAGACAGATTGGCAGCCCAATCGAGACGGGATCCGGCCACCTTCGAAAAGGAAATACATAATTCACAATAAAAAAAAAAAAAAAAAGGGGCAAATCCAAAAAAAAACACCATGATGAAACACACCCGTTAACAAGCAGGACAGGAATCCCTGCTGCTGAAAAGAAGTTACCAGGTACCTAACTTGTATTTTCCCAAGTCCTCTTCCAGGATGAGAGAATAAGTAAGAAACTAGAATACTTTTTTAGGGGGGACAACTGCCAAGAGCCTCCTTTCTTGTCAAAAGTCTGAACTCAGCAGGAGAGGAGGACAACTCTGTAATGCAACACAAGAAATTTGCACTGAACCCAGTGGCTTCCTACTAGATAAGCTCTGGTGAAATAACCCCTCTTCCCAATTTGACTAAGGTCCTATTAGAGAGTGCCAAAAAATTCTCTGGAGGGTGATAGGGCAATGGATAGCATAAGTCATCAGGCATCGGTGTTATGATGTTTTGCAGCATTCCTTAGGCCCGGAACAGGCCAAATATTCTTGGATTTCTTCTTGAGTAGTGCAAGCTCTTGTTCATCTAAATTTTTATAAGGTGTCTCTGGTGCTACCTAGAAGGGTGGCTGACTTCTAGGTAGCACCAGTGACACCTTATAAAATTTAGATGAACAAGAGCTTGCACTACTCAATGTCTTGGATAGAATAAAAAGAGACAGAGGTCAGTAATAACGCACAGTACAGAAGTCAGCGGTACAGAGGGCAATAATAACGCACAGTACGGAGGTCAGCAGTACAGACGTCAGTAATGTAACGCACAGTGCAGAGGCCATTATAAACTTTTAATTTTTTGTATTAAATATATATATTTTTTTAAACTATAACAGACCCCTGATATTTCACTTTTGCTTTGCATTGCAACCAATCAGCATCTCTGTTTCATTTTCAAATCTTAAAGTGACATTAAAGTTTAAAAAAAAATCCCCCCCCCCATGTTAAGTAAAACACTTACCTTAAATGATGTCTCTTAATCCCATCTTCCTCTTCTTTCCTGTCCTTTTCAGCCTTCTCTCCAGTGCTGCGGCAGGTCTCCGATCCAGCGCCGACTCATCTGTCCTTGCTGGCACTTCCTGTCCCACGGTGTCTGCATGCACGCGTCCATAAACTTACCTTCCGCCTCTCCTCGTCTCCCGGCCGAAAATCCGAACAGCGCATGCGCCCACCCCAAGATGCTTTGCGGCTGATCGAACAGTTTCGGATTTTCAGACGGGAGCACAGCGGTAAGTTTAAACAGCTTTTAAAAAATACTAATTTGCATATATCTACTGCTTGCGAGCAGTAGATATATGCAAAAAAGCCTGCTCCAGTTTTCATCTGCTCCAGTTTTTATAAATTCCCTCCAGTTTTCTCAATCTGTCCATACATCATACTCTATCCAAGTGAGATAAAGCCCTAGCAACCCAGCTAAAAAGCCCTCATCCTGGACTGTTAAAGTGCTGCACACTCTAAGGGCAGGTTCACACCATGCGTTTTGCCACGACTGATCTGGGTTTTTTAAAAGTTCAAAATGGGCTCAGGCGCGTTTCAGTGTGTTCCCGACTAGACAAAAGGAGACATGCAGGATCTTTCTGGTCTGGCATGGTCCGGAATGGACTGCTCTGGAGTGACCAGAGGCCAGAAATAGCATAGGGATACATTAGGATGCATTTTGGGTCTGGAAAAAATCTGGTCTGGAGATGATCTGGATGTGGTTTTAATTGGCCCAGAGTTGTATAAGAAAACCTCAAGGCTGTAACCAGAACAATAAGTAAGGCCCCACACCTGTGAGGCAGACACACCCAAGCTGATACAATTAATGGATTGGATCAGCCTGTGAGCAAACTGTATGTAGATGGAAGAAAAAAACCCTCACAATAAAAAGGTTAGATGCTTGCTATCAAAGACTTAACCACATATAAAGAGTTAAGAGTCTCCTAAAATTTTTAATAGGTTGTTCATATCTTCAAAAAGTAAGACCTTGAAGATAAAGTAACCTCATCCAGCATTTCCCATACTCTGGGAATTTGCATCTTTATGCTCCCATGCTCTAAAGCAGGGGTTGCCAAACACTGGTCCTCCAGCTGTGGTGGAACTACAAATCCCATGAGGCAATGCAACATTCTCACAGCCACAGACATGACTCCCGGAGAGAGATGCATCATGGGATTGTCGTTTCACCACAGCAGGGGGACCAGTGTTTGGCTACCCCTGCTCTAAAGGGCAAGTCAAGCATAAGTGAAGTTCACTTAATCAGGGCTGAAGGGGGGGGGGGGGAGTTGTCCGACTATGGAGTGAGGACGCGTGCACTGAGCTCCTGCACCTGCCCTGTTAAAAAGAGCCGACAAGCCAGGGTTTCGCACACCGCGGCCGGCCGGGAGGCGTAGTGGCACGTAGCCGCGGGGCTGTCATTGCCGGAGCTGGCGGTGACTCTGGGACCTAACGGTTAGGACCCTTGCTGTGCTGTGTTTCTGGGCTGACATCGGCACTTCCGGTGGCGATGCCCACGGCCCAACAAGAGTGGAGGCTGAAGTGTGTGGAGCCGCTGACGGCTCTCAACGAGTCCCGTGGAGGGTGGATGGAATGCTGGAGGACGCATGGGATCTCAGCCAGGACGCTTGGAGTGTGACGTGGAGGGATTGCTGTCGTGGTCAGGATATTGACACTTTGCAGTTGCCAATGCTGACAGGTACCTTTATCAAACACATGTGCCCTATGGACTAGGCTGTTATAACAGACTAATGATAATATGAGAGACTGGACATTGTGGGCCACATCCTGAGCTTCTGGCTATATGTGATCTATGGGCTTTGTGGCCGTGGGCTAAGAGGCATTTAAAAAAAGCCAATTGATAAGCTGAAAATCATATAAAGAGACTGGCTATATAAATCACATATTGAACTAAGGGTGAATGTGCCGGGGGAGTGTGGCTCACGAATGGTGGCGTGAGGATGTGCGCTGCTGGTGACGTGAGGATACAAAGACATTGGGGGGTAATTGATCAAAACTGGAGCAAACAGAATCTGGAGCCGTTGCCCATGGCAACCAATCAGCATCTCTTTTCAGTTTGCTCAGGTAAGATTTAAAACATTCAGAGAAGTTGATTGGTTGCAGTGCAAATCTGTTCCAGATTTTGCCTGCTCCAGTTTCGATAGATCCTCCCACTGTGCGGTGTCTCCGGGGATGGGCAGGGTCACCAGGGATCTCCCTCACACACACAGACTCACTGAGAAGCTGTGCTGATGACTCATCTCTGCTCTCTCTGAGCTGAGGGGGAGGGGATCCGCTGATTGCAGTTTAGAGATAACAACCCGACCCTCTGAGAGATGGATTGAAGATCTTGTGGAGGGAATTTTGAATTTCTAGGTCTCTGGCCCGTGAAAGAGTCTATAAAATAAAAGTATGAAAAACAGCCCTGTGACTCCTGAGAATTCACACACATGTACATCCCCCCTGCACCTCCCCATTACCACAAAAAAAACTCAAAATCATTTACAAAAAGGTGGAAATGTCCATTAACTTCTATATTGGAAAACCAATAACAGAACTGGTTGAGATGGACTGGATACATAGATTGCCCGGTTTTCGTAAGCAGAATATACCCTATCCATGGGATATTATATGTCGGATACACTTCTATAAACAAAAAGAGACAATTGTGACAAAGGCCAAAGAAAAGGGGGAATTAGACTTTGATGATGCTTGTATTGCCATATTCCCTAAGATAACAAGGGCCAAACATAGAGCACTTTGCCCTAGGGATGTCCCGATACCGATACTAGCATCTGTATCGGGACCGATACAGGGCATTTTCACAAGTACTTGTGGAAATGCCCCGATACATAGCGCAGATACTTGCGCTATCATATTTTTTTTGCTGCCCAGAGGTATCGCGTGTGTTGGGGTCCTCTGGCCAGTCTGCTGGGCAGCTAAATCAGGACTCCACCTGGAGCGCCTCCATCAAGTTGAGAACCGAGACACAATGCAGCGATCCTGCCCAGCGCCAACTACTAGAGGCACGGCGTGAGGCAACAGGGATCGGAGTGAAACTGTGAGAGAGGGAAGTTGGGACAGGGCCGACTGTAAATCTATTGCTACAGTGTACTGGAAGTGTGTACTAGGTTAAATGATCCATAGCTAACACTTCGAAGTACACTGCAGCAATAGAGTTACAATTCTCCCCTGCTAACATGAATAGGTCAAATGATCCCAGAGGCAGATGCACGATCGGATTTGTAGTTTCACTACAGCTGTGTGAAAGCAAATTAAAATGTTTTATTGTTCTGAAACACAGTCTTAAAATTAAAGTTCTTCATAATCATAAAGAAATTAGCCTAAAATCATTAGTCTGTATTGTTTTTTTTTTTTTAAATGTAACCTGTCCCTTTAAGAATATCGGTCATTGGTATGGGCAAGTACATGAGGGGAACTACTTGTACTTGGTCCTGAAAAAGTGGTATCGATACATCCCTGCTTCGCCCACTTGCACGAGCCTTAGTGGAGGCAGGAGTTCCCTACCAGTGGGGATACCCATTTCAACTTGTGGCAAGGAAAACTGAACGTACTTTTATACTTCAGTCACTAGGAAATCTAGAACGTTTTGTTTCTGAAATTGGATTGCCATTAATGGAGTTGGAACCATGGCCTGACCCAGCTGTGCCAGTATTTTAAAGAGGTGCCCAGTGGGGACTCATTGGTCCAGGCTTAATCCACACCATGTAGGAGGACTGATAATTCCTGGGGACGCTCACTTGTATAGTAACCGAAGAGGGGCAGTGGATAATCTTTTTTCCCTTAGGAAACTTCTTTAAGGAATAAACTAATCTATTTGATTCACCCGTGAGGGTTAGCTGGGTTTGGGATAGATGTGGGTTTGGATATTGGGAGGGAGGTGGTAGAGAATTATTTTTGTTAAACTCACCAGGTGTAACATGAAAGAATGTATGGAGGGGTGCAAAACAATTGCATGATATAAACTGGATAAATACAAATAGAGAAGAGGGGTCCTCTTTCTCTCTTCCTATCCCCCTCTATATCTTTACTATATAGAGGGGGGGAATGTAGAACGGGAGTGGTGGAGGATAGGTATAATTAAACACTAACATTGAAGAGGGGACACCCACCCTGCCTTGGGGTAGCGGTTCCCCTATTTTTTTTGGGTGGGGGTGGATTTTGGGGTGATTTAATTTGGTGTAAGATTGGGAGGGAGGGGGGTTGGAGGGGAAGCTATGGGGTAAAGATGGTGGATCACAATTGTTTAATTATATATTTAATAAAACACAAATGGAAGAAGAATAAAATGCACAAATAGAAATGAAGTGTGGACTATTCTAATGGAGTGCACTAATGAATATTGGATGGAGGGGATTACCTCATGGAATAATATTTTAAGAGAGACGAGGTAAATAAAAAGGGAAAAGGGAATAGAAGGTTTATTGGGAGATAATAGATAAAACACAAAGAAATTATGGGAATGGGATGTTTAAGTAAATTTGGTGGGAGGAATCATTAATAAAATCACATGGATAAAGTTACTTTACGAGATCCTCTTTTTTGGGGGGGTTAGGAGGTTCCCCCCCTTCTTCCCTTTTTTTTTTCCAAAGTTTTTGATAGGGTTGACTGGGAGTACCTCTTCTCTATTCTGCACTAATTAGGTATTGGCCCTACCATGCGTCGCCGCATTACAGCTCAGGTGCGGATCAAAAGAGTATTGAGTGAATTGTTTACCTTGCATAATGGTACTAGGCAGGGGTGTCCTCTTTCTCCTTTGTTTGCCATCTCTTGAACCCCTCCTGGCAACTATTCGAGCAGATTCATCTATACACGGTATCAAAATTGGCACTCAGCTCAGTAAACTGGTGGCCTACACGGATGTCTTATTCTATGTACAGCAGCCTCGGGTATCCTTTCCTAACTTATTGAAGGCCCTCTCCTTATTTGGGATGCTGTCCAACTTTACAATTAATTTAAAGAAATCTGAAATGTTGAATCTTAAATCTACCTTTGGGAAAGGTACACTCCCGAAAACCAAGTTTTCCATTAGTGTGGACTCATCCATTTGAAATACCTGCTGATATTATTGACGCCAAACATTAATTAATTGGTCCAATTAATTATATTTCATTGTTGAATAGGGTTAGGGGGTGGGGATTTAGAACATTGGCATTCCCTTTTCTCATAATTAGCTGGGAAGGGTAAACGTTGTAAAGATGAATGTCTTGTCCAAGTTGAACTTTCTGTTTTAGATGCTACCATTTGGGGTCACGAATGACTACTTTAAAATACTTCATTCTGTGATATCCAAGTGCATATGGAAACGCACTAAACCGAGGGTCTCCGGCTATGTGTTGGCTCGTTCTAAAAGGAGATTGTGGTTTGGCAACTCCAAATTTTAAACTAGATCATGCTGCGATACTTACCCGAGTTGTAGATTGGATATATGCACGTCAGACTAAGCAATAGGTGATCTTGGAGAGTATGTTGAGTAGAGCGGAAATGGACTCTGTGATCTGGATTCCCAGGCGGTTCCGAAGTCTTTCCCCGGATACCTTGCCGTTGAGGATGTCAACTTTGGTGGTGTGGGATAGTACTTTGTTGAAGGCTGGCTGTCTATACAACTCTCCTCTGCTACCCTTGACTGGTCATGCATATTTTATGCCGGGTAAATGGCATGTGAAGTTTAATGATTGTCATGTTGACAAGCCTATCCATCTCCATAATGTCCTTAGGGGCACTGTGTTAACACCTTTGGAAGCCCTCCTAGATTCTATTTGCCCGACATTTATGGACTATTGGAGATACTCAGTTACAGCATTTTATTGTATCTCTTCCAAAGCCTTTACAATCTTTAAGAAATCTCAGTTCTATTGAAGCTATGTTTCTCTCACGTATCAGGCCTACCAGGTATCTACCGCTTTTATAAGATTTTGTTGGAATTTGGGAGACAGGAGTTTCCTGGAATTTTTGACTAGATGGGAGAGGGACTTGGGCAGCACACTACCTGATGAACAAAAAAATCAAGATACGGGGGCGTGGTTTGATGGCCGCCTGAACCAGCAGCATTACCAGAGGGCACCGACCGGGACCATCTAAATAGACAGCCTAACAGCCACATACAGCAGCCGACAATGGCAAATTTGGATCCCGCAGGTCAGCCAAGTCACAGCAGACTTTACAGCAAAAAAAAACAAAAAAAAACGGCCAAAACGATCAAGTCGTTTTTTGACTCGAGCGAGCCGCAGGGGTCTGTGTCTCATAAAATAGCGCTGTGGCCTCACCTCGAGGAGGGCTGGAGGCCACGGCGCACGCACAGTCGGGACGAGAGGGATCAGTCCCACCGGGGTCTTCCTCGTCGGGATCGTCCGGAACCCCCAACATCACCCAGAACGGGGTCTCCATCGGGTTGCCGAGATTTGGTGGGAGGATCAGAGGATGGTGTGAGTACAGGGGGCGAGACGCAGTGAGGCCTTCACCTACCCATATTGGGGCCAGACATCAGCACACCTTGTAATGCTCTCCCAACACCACAGCGCCACCTGGCGGCAGCTCCAGTACATGCACCTATACAGAAAGTGCCAATACAAACAGCCCAACATCACGATCTTCCAGAGCCTTATGATTCACGCCAAGGGGAGAAACTGGCAGATGCCCACTCTTCATCGGAAGCAGATGATGTGGAATACTCTTCCTGGAGGGATTATGTTAAACACATTCCCACAAAGAAGGACTTCAGGCTCCTAATACAGGAAGTCATCATAGCCAGGCCTACTTACTGATTTTATCAGTTTATTAGACATCGGGCTTGAGGACGATCAAACGTTGCCTCAGATAGCGGGCAGAGGGACTCAATACTCAATACTCATCCACTCTCCATAACTTAGCTGTTAGGCTGTAAATTGAATAGTACTTCCTGGAGCGGTTCCGGGATCGGACGCTCAGAGGAAGGGATCTTAAGGAAACAGTACTCCGATCGGTGCTGAAGTAGCATCAGATGGTAGTCTGTCTTCACCCAACCCCCCC